TAGTATTGACAGGTATTGATTAATTTCTAAATATCAGTTGATATTATCATAGACAGGTATCGATTAATTTCTAGATATTAGTTAATATTAGTATAGACAGGTATTGATTAATTTCTATATATCAGTTGATATTATCATAGACATGTATTGATTAATTTCTAGATATTAGATAATATTAATATAGACAGGTATTGATTAATTTACAAATATCAGTTGATATTATCATAGACAGGTATCGATTAATTTCTAGATATTAGTTAATATTAGTATAGACAGGTATTGATTAATTTCTAAATATCAGTTGATATTATCATAGACAGGTATCGATTAATTTCTAGATATTAGTTAATATTAATATTGACAGGTATTGATTAATTTCTAGATATCAGTTTTGTTATTAGTATAGAGTGTGTTGATTAATATTTATTCGCTAGCAATGTCTGCGTTATTTTATGGTATAATTGTTTATATGTTAATCATGATTATGTGGTAAATGAATTCACATGGTAACAAAATTATGTAGCACTAATGTTGTGCATTGCATCATTGTTATTCGCTTACCCTTTATCCCATTTGGCAGTACAAATGGTTATTCTTTAGATGTATATTTGATTTACAAGACAACATCCAAAATAAAAAAAAAATACCAATACAACGTTATTAAGCACATTACTGTAAACATGCTAATGCTTTCATCACACCATCACCACGAAAGACATTTTAACTAGGCATGGTTTCTCACTTATCAGTATATTTGTTTTGCATCTTCTGTTTTTCCCCATAGCCCATGAGAGTCACCGCAAAAGTTAAGTTGTCAGAATGTAAATGAATCGAAACGACAAACACAATGTCATTACTCAAATATAAGAGAGCTTAAGGATAAACCAAGTAATATAACCTACCGACCTATTGACAAGCCAAGTAATATAACCTACCGACCTAATGACAAGCCAAGTAATCTAACCTACCGACCTATTAACAAGCCAAGTAATCTAACCTACCGACCTATTGACAAGCCAAGTAATCTAACCTACCGACCCATGGACAAGCCAAGTACTCTAACCTACCGACCTATTGACAAGCCAAGTAATATAACCTACCGACCCATTGACAAGCCAAGTAATCTAACCTACCGACTTATTGACAAGCCAAGTATTATAACCTACCGACCTATGGGCAAGCCAAGTAATATAACCTACCAATCTATGGACAAGCCAAGTAATCTAACCTACCGACCCTTGTACATGCCAAGAAATTTAACCTACCAACCCATGGACAAGCCAAGAAATCTAATCTACTGACCCATGGACAAGCCAAGTAATCTAACCTACCGACCCATGGACAAGCCAAGTAATTGAACATACCAACCCATGGACATGCCAAGTAATCGAACCTACCGATGCATGGACAAGCCAAGAAATCTAACCTACCGACCCATGGATATGCCAAGTAATCTAACCTACCGACCAATGGATATGCCAAGAAATCTAACCTACCGACTCTTGGACAAGCCAAGTAATTGAACATACCGACCCATGGACAAGCCAAGTAATTTAACCTACCGATCTATGGACAAGCCAAGTAATCGAACCTAACGACCCATGGACACGCCCAAAAATGTAACATAAATCTAACCTACCGATCTATGGACAAGCCAAGAAATCTAACCTACCGACCCATGGACAAGCCAAGTACTCTAACCTACCGACATATTGACAAGCCAAGTAATATAACCTACCGACCCATTGACAAGCCAAGTAATCTAACCAACCGACTTATTGACAAGCCAAGTAACATAACCTACCGACCTATGGGCAAGCCAAGTAATATAACCTACCAACCTATGGGCAAGCTAAATAATCTAACCTACCGACCCATGGACAAGCCAAGTAATCTAACCTACCGACCCTTGTACAAGCCAAGATATTTAACCTACCGACCCATGGACAAGCCAAGAAATCTAACCTACTGACCCATGGACAAGCCAAGTAATCTAACCTACCGACCCATGGACAAGCCAAGTAATTGAACATACCAACCCATGGACATGCCAAGTAATCGAACCTACCGATGCATGGACATGCCAAGAAATCTAACCTTCCGACCCATGGATATGCCAAGTAATCTAACCTACCGACCAATGGATATGCCAAGATATCTAACCTACCGACTCTTGGACAAGCCAAGTAATTGAACATACCGATCCATGAACAAGCCAAGTAATTTAACCTACCGATCTATGGACAAGCCAAGTAATCGAACCTAACGACCCATGGACAAGCCAAAAGATCTAACATACCGACCCATGTATAAGCCAAAAAATCTAACCTACCAATCTATGGACAAGCCAAGAAATCTAACCTACCGATCTAGGGACAAGCCAAGTAATCGAACCTAACGATCTATGAACAAGCCAAGAAATCTAACCTACCGACCCATGGACAAGCCAAGAAATCGAACCTAACGACCCATGGACAAGCCAAGAAATCTAACCTACCGACCCATGGACAAGCCAAGTAATCGAAACTAACGACCCATGGACACGCCAAAAAAATCTAACATACCGACCCATGTACAAGCCAAATAATCTAACTCATTCTAGAATATGGTAATATAGTTTAGAAGAACTGCAGATTACTCGAGAAAAGAGAAATCAGAACAGTTAAAATATGAGTCAACTAAAATTATTCCTGGCGCAATAATAATATTATATAATTAAGTGCTACACATAAAAATAGGACGAGACTGCATTAAATCCTGAGGATAAAAACACAAATTTACACTCTCGTATAAAATGACAAATGGATCAAACCCTTCCTATCTCAGTCTCTTTTTCCGTCAACTGTTAGTAATCATACTCATTATAGATTACGTATTGTAAACAATTTATAATTAGGAAAGGTTACAACCGTAATATAAACAATTTCCAGTTAGTAAAGGTAACAAGTCTTTAGTACAACTCGTTTCTTCAATCGTTCATTTGATAATGGAATCTAATACGACTAGTCAAACTGACTATTAGCAATAACAAAAGTACATTAAATACTCACTATGTTTCCAAACACTTTTAATGGGGTAGAAGGGATTCAGAAGTTTTCATTAATGACTTAGAACGAATTGCAGGTCGCTAATCAACATTTAGTTTAAAAATTATAACGAGGATTATCTCTTTATAGATGCTAATCTATGGAGAGTACACAACACTTCTTTTTTCTTGCCTTTATTACCAAGACAAATGTGTTTAAATACCTCACACCATATGATAACTTTAAATACATTCTTGTGTGAACCGCTATGGTGGCCTATTGGTTAGATCGCCCGCCTCCGATGCGGGAGGTCGTGGGTTCGATTCCCGGTCAAGTCATACCAAAGACTTACAACAAATGGTGCTAACAGCTGCCTTTTTGACGCTCAGTATTAAGAGGTTAGTGTTAGGACTGGTGGGCCTTGTGTCAGGATAATTTGACTGGGTGGGACACTACATGTGTGCGGCATGTCTCAGTGTTAGACATCACTATAACTGCCACACTGCAGATATCGTAGAGATATGACTGAAAAATTGTTAAAGCTACGTTAAAAATCAAAATCACATCACACCACATACTTCTTGTGTGTAAAACAACGCCTCCGTGTGAAGTAAATACCCGTATTTACGATGTCGTTCACAAGTGTATCAAAACGAATGACATTTTGCTGTCCAAATTTCCAGATGATGCGCCGTAACCTCCGCAATTATTCGCTCTTTCCTCGACACTTTATTCACGATCGTTGACAAATTTGAATTGACAATTCTCTTTGCAACTTCTTTCTTTTCTATATCCTCGTCTTAGACTGACTCCTTCATTGCTTTGTGCTTCTGCTGTACACACCTTGTATAAATGATATTTAAAAAAACTCTTAAATTTGATAATTCAATAATTTTGTTGTCACAAAAACTTAATATACATTTTTCTTTTGTTAGTTGATAGCCCACATTTATACGAGTATTTATAATTGAAACTGCATTGCATATTGTCAGTCATGCAATAACAGTGGGTCTTAGATGAGGGAACACCTTTACATTTATTGAACGTTGTTTCCATGCAATCATACTTGTAGTACTTCTTTTCGGGTGAATTTATGATTTGACATTAATATGTCTTACCCTGAATTGAGCACCTAAAGTTACCCAAGCAAAATTAAACACATAACTTTTGTGGTCTTGTTTTGTGACACATAGCTGGTTCGTGAATTAATCAAACTTGGATGTAATTCTTTTGATTTTGGGAACTGCTGATCCTTGCTTGTCATACTTCGGAAGCTCTATCGGTAGAGAACAACAGAAATTAAATTCAGTTGAGCGTTTTTATAAAGTATGATTATTTAATTGCGTTTATCGATTGACTGAACTTAAAATGCGGATCTCTCGCCCTTTCTAAAACTAAAAGAAGCTGTTGTTGTTAAAGTGGAAAAGCAACATCTGCTGAGTCAGCGAAAAAGTCACATTCTCAAGCGTGAAAACAGGTTTAACTGGCATTTATTTCATTATCGAAGTACAGATGAAAATAGAAATTATGTGAATTAACTGAAGTACTTTTTCTTTGTTGTTAAACATATTAGTTAGTGTCAAGGAAGTTAGCGGTGGAATATTGTATACATTAAATCTTATATAACTTAATTTCAGTACAAATGATATAGAATAGGTTTTCTTATTATATATTCTAACCTGCTACAAATAGGATCTGATTAATTTATTTATGAATCCGTATGTACAAGATGGCATTTGTATATTTTGAGAAAAATATACATTTATATGTGATGTGATGTTGATTTTTAACTTCGCTTTAACAATTTTTCAGTTATATCGCTACGATGTATGCAGCACTGCGACATCGCGCCGCAGACACGTAGCATCATGTCCCACCCAGTCACATTATAGGCCGACTAGTAAAAACTCTAACCTCTTAATGCTGAGCGCCAAGCGAGGCAGCTGTTAGTACCATTTTTGTAAGTCTTTGGTATGGCTCTAACGGGGATCGAACCCACGACCTCCCGCATCCGGGGCGGGCGCTCTAACCTTTAAGCCACCGGAGCGGTTATATATAAATTTATAAATGGATAAGTACATAAATCAGTACTAAATGTTTGGTTTGCCTAATGACACATATGTATAGTTGCTTACTTCATTGCCTAACAAATTATTTCTCGATCATATAAATTATTGCCTGATCTATTTCGTGACAACTAATTTGCTTTCTGATATTCTTGCATGCGTGTGATCTTTCATTAATTGTCTTACTTTCTTACCTTCTAGGGCATTCTTTTTCTATATTGCTTGCATGCATACCTAATAAATCAGATGACCATATACATGGTCCAAGTCTTAACCACAAACAAGTACCTATTGTAGACAATGTCTTATCCCGCACTTAATGTAAGACATTAAATAGCCATGACAGGTAGGTCTACTTTTCTGAGTTGTTGGACAATAACTATATTGTTACCTTATTCTTGCCTAAAAAAAACACAGAACAATTGATACAGTTCACACAGAAACCATACATATATAAATCTTTAATTTCTGTTTCACGTAGATTAAACTTTGTTAAATATATTTTGTATTTAAATCTTATTTGCCTTTAATGTATTCTAGCATCATTACTGTTGCTTTTATGCCTATTACTGTATCGGTTTTTCCTATAAAAAAAATTCTTTTTCCAAATCTACAATACCAAATAGATCTATACCCAACAGTACATATATTTTCACTACTAATGAGCTTCTCCACCGCCTTGATATGACTAATATCTAAGGTCATCCGATTTCCACAACGGTGATGATTATAAATAATATATATTGTCATCCGATTTCCACAACGGTGATGATTATAAATAATATATAAGGTCATCCGATTTCCACAACTGTGATGATTACAAATAATATATATTGTCATCCGATTTCCACAACGGTGATGATTATAAATAATATCTAAAGTCATCCGATTTCCACAACAGTGATGATTATAAATAATATCTAAAGTCATCCGATTTCCACAACGGTGATGATTATATATAATATCTAAAGTCATCCGATTTCCACAACGGTAATGATTATAAATAATATATAAGGTCAACCGATTTCCACAAAGGTAATGATTATAAATAATATCTAAAGTCATCCGATTTCTACAACGGTGATGATTATAAATAATATATAAGGTCATCCGATTTCCACAACGGTGATGATTATAAATAATATATAAGGTCATCCGATTTCCACAACGGTGATGATTATAAATAATATCTAAAGTCATCCGATTTCCACAACGGTAATGATTATAAATAATATCTAAAGTCATCCGATTTCCACAACGGTGATGATTATAAATAATATATAAGGTCATCCGATTTCCACAACGGTGATGATTATAAATGATATCTAAAGTCATCCGATTTCCACAACGGTGATGATTATAAATAATATCTAAGGCCATCCGATTTACACAACGGTAATGATTATAAATAATATCTAAGGCCATCCGATTTCCACAACGGTGATGATTACAAATAATATATATTGTCATCCGATTTCCACAACGGTGATGATTATAAATAATATCTAAAGTCATCCGATTTCCACAACGGTGATGATTATAAATAATATATAAGGTCATCCGATTTCCACAACGGTGATGATTATAAATAATATCTAAAGTCATCCGATTTCCACAACGGTGATGATTATAAATAATATCTAAAGTCATCCGATTTCCACAACGGTGATGATTATAAATAATATATAAGGTCATCCGATTTACACAACGGTAATAATTATAAATAATATCTAAAGTCATCCGATTTCCACAACGGTGATGATTATAAATAAAATCTAAAGTCATCCGATTTCCACAACTGTGATGATTATAAATAATATATAAGGGCATCCGATTTCCTCAACGGTGATGATTATAAATAATATCTAAAGTCATCCGATTTCCACAACGGTGATGATTATAAATAATATCTAAAGTCATCCGATTTCCACAACGGTGATGATTATAAATAATATATAAGGGCATCCGATTTACACGACGGTAATGATTATAAATAATATCTAAAGTCATTCGATTTCCACAACGGTGACGATTCTGAGTGGCTGGTTTATAATATGTATTGCACATCGCCTCGATTTAATGATTATTTTAATTTTCTTATATTTTATATTTCATCGAGTTGTTGTCAATGAAATGAAACAAAATCGATTAATATTTGTAGTTAACCACATTTCATGCAATTAACGAAGTACAAGCTTAAAATGACAAGCATATGTTCACCAAAGAAAAGTTTGCAAATATCTGTTGTTGTTATTCTGGATGTTATTGTAGGATCACACTTTGTTTTGTGTATGTGTCCAAAGATGACTGAATTAAAATAGTATGCTAATCTTTATAAAATTATTAGCCTACCTTAACAACCGTAAAGTAGCTCATAAATTAGATGTCTTTGTTATCATCCTTGAATACAGCTCTTTATAGTCTGTCTAACTTGAAAAATCCAAATATAATATGATTTCGAATTAACGACGTGAACCTTAAATTCCGTTCGCTGATTACACAATCTTTATCTACAAATCAGTTAAGTGTTTGTCAGGATTATGTTAATCTAAACATACAGATGATAAATTGCCGGCTGTCTGGAGACAATCTGATCTAGAACACTTCATATATCCGCGCCTCTAATGTAAAATTCATTTTTATGCTACACTGGATTATAATTAAATAAACAGTTTGATTACGGGTTATTTTTTTTTGCTATAGGACAATCAATGTATAAGACTACTAAAGTGTTCGAGCATATTTCTCATACGTGTTCATTTTACTTAAGATATATGACTAATTAAAATGAATGAGTGTCCCTCAAAAATTAATTTGGCCGCATATAAATTTGCGGAAGTGATAATTACTGTTTTATAAAAATAAAATTAGGTATTATTTACATTATTAAATCACTTGTGTTCGTTAATTATCTAATTGAAACTCTACGAGTCCGTCAATATCAAGTCTGAAATATATAGAGAATACTCTGTCATTTGAGTTATGCTTGAATTTATCTGTCCTTGGTTTTGTCTGCTTGGATAAAACAAAAAAAAAATGCATCTTGAGCGAAAGTATCATTTTCTCGAGAAAAAAAACTGTCTTACATTTTGCTCACTTAGATTTTCTCCCAGTTTCACCTCATTTTATGTCAAATGCTTTATTGCCAAGTTTGGAACAAAAAGGAAAAACTAAAATACAAATGAATTAGTTTCAACAAACATAGCATATCGTTCTTAATGAAAATTATATAAATAACATGCGATTAATTCCGACTGAGCGTTTTTATGTATCGTATATGCCCCTCCCCCAAAAAACATGAATATCCACTGTATTCTCGTTCTAGTCTTTACATTAATAAATGCTGTAGAACTCCATCAAATATTGCGATTTGTTATATTCCTTTTTTGCTCTGCCCTCATGGGAACTTGTACGTCTGACTTCATATTGCCTTAATAGACGCCATTGTCTCACACTTACTATGGATTGATAACTTGCTATCTATTATTATTCATTTAGAAATAAAACATATTTCTGGAAGGTGTGCTTTTAAGACAACAATAAACAGGCACGATTATTTGAAACCATGATATACCCGGTAAATTTTGGACTATAAAAAACAAACAACAATCACTTCCATCTAATTGGCGGGGTGGGTGGGTGTCTAAAATATAATGTGCTACTCGAATCCTAATACGGATTCAAACTGCCAGCAAAAAGTTAGTTGATCATTAAAAATCGCACTACAATTTACAATCTGGAGGATTTCCGTGTTTTTCCTCGCGTGCTTTGAGTCAGAATGTTTGTGTTCAACATTTATCATTTTATAAATGAAGTCCAAAACGGATTCGCTCTAGAAGTACCCCAAATAAAGTTCATTCATCAACATCTGTTAGATGCAATGGACCGTAACCTGGCAATAAGACAATCCAACATTCACTACACATTTTGTGCGATTGAAGTATGAAACTTTTCATTTTTCATTCTATAAAATCTTTGCACTTTTGGTACTTTTGCATCAAGATTATTTTTATTTCCTGTTAGTTGGTCTGAAGAAAAACAAAACAAAAAAAAACAACAAAAGATGGTTTTTATAAACGATGTTAAATTATATGCATTTATTTAATAAATATGCGGAGTCTGGCGGAAATAAAATGAGAGTTTTGTCCTTGGGATCAATGAATATTCAAATATGGTGCTATAAAGTTTATTAGTAGAATATAAAGCATGCATGAAACACTCACCAATATGGAGAAAGATAGCCATAACATGTCTTTTCAGATTCGAGATAGATGATATCTTTCTTTAAAAAAAATATTTTATAGAAAAAGAATCTGTTTGCTTTTTTATACACGGACTATTTCCTGAAAAGTTAAAACTTTAAAATTTGCTTACCATTACTTAGAGAGATATAATAAAAAGGATATGTAAGAGATTCGGGTATAAATGGCGGAAAATGGGGAAATTATTGTTCGAAGCGGTATTCCGCAAATAAATATGAACATTCTGATAATATGAAATAGAAGTGTAAACGTTTTTACTTGTGAAGGGTTGGCGAAATATTCGCCCCAACAAAGGAGTAGAATCATTTATCAGATACCTTTATGAAACTTCATATTGCAAATACCTATAAGTCAATTGCAATGTTAAAGGAATAATATCCCACCCCTCTGTACGCATATGTAGGACGAAAATATAATCACATCAGGGATTTAACACGCAGTTAGTCCACGCGTTCATGCGTCCTCAGCTTACCACCTATGTATCCGACATGAAAACTTAAATATGTATCCAAAATCTGAAAGTTAGCAAAACATAACAAACGAAATGGCGCACAAATAAAGAAGTTGTTTCGTACACTTTCTGTAAGGTATGGTGATTGTTGTTTTAATGTTTCTTACTTTCGCGTTCTATATGTATTGAACAATGAAGTAGGCTAAATACCAATAAAAGTGATTTATTTACATGTTGATAAACATTAGCACATCTACTCACGA